CCCCCCCCCACTCTACTAAAAATACAAAAATATCAGCCGGGCATGGTGGAGTGTGCCTGTAATCAGGAGGCTGAGGCAGGAGAATCACTTGAACCTGAGAGGCCAAGGTTGCAGTGAGCGGCAATCATGTACCAGTAAAACACCTACGGCATGCCAGTCAGTGTTCTAAGTGCTTTGCAAATATTAACTCGTTCAATCCTCATATCTCCACAATGACCCTCTGAGGCAGGTTCTATCTTTTCCCCACTTGCAGATGAGGAAATTTGCCCAAGGTGACAGAGATTAGGATTCAAGCCCAGGCTGCTGGCTCCCAAAACCATGCTCTTACTCCACTATTGTCTGTGGCCGCCACATTTTTGTTGTATTTTTGGCATTTGTTGACTTGGAAGTGTGGGAAGGATTTGAGAGGCAGAGAAAAGGCACTTTGGGAACAACATGAACCAAAACACAAGTGGTTTGTAGCTACATTGTCATAATGGCTCCTGTTTGTGACGGTTTAGTGCAACTAGCCTTTTAATGTATAATTTCAACCCCAGCAATTCATATTATGTAAGAACTTTTTTTTTTTTTTTTTTTTTTGAGACGCATTTTTGCTCTGGTTGCCCAGGCTGGAGAGCAGTGACTCAATCTTGGCTCACCACAACCTCAGCCTCCTGGGTTCAAGCAATCCTTGAATAGCTGGGACTGCAGGCATGCCACCAAGCCTGGCTAATTTTTTTTTTTTTTTTTCTGTAGAGATAGATCTCGCTATGTTGACTGCTATATTGACCGGGCTGATCTCAAACTCCTGGCCTCAAGCCATCCTGCTGCAGCAAACTCCCAGAGACACTGGAATGACAGGTGTGAGCCACTGTGGCAGGCCAGTCTCCTGGTTGATTTCAATCTAGACACTTTAATGAGCACCAAACATGAACCAGGCAGTGGACTAGACTCAAGGATGGGCTGAATGTGTTTCCTGTTGTTCAAGCAAGCAGAGGGCAAATGAGGCCCATGTACGAGTAGCCAACAGTAACATTGGGTGGCTCACGCCTGTAATCCCAGCACTTTGGGAGGCCGAGACAGACAGATCATTTGAGGTCAGGAGTTCAAGACCAGCCTGACCAACATGGTGAAACCCCCCCCCCACTCTACTAAAAATACAAAAATATCAGCCGGGCATGGTGGAGTGTGCCTGTAATCAGGAGGCTGAGGCAGGAGAATCACTTGAACCTGAGAGGCCAAGGTTGCAGTGAGCGGCAATCATGTACCAGTAAAACACCTACGGCATGCCAGTCAGTGTTCTAAGTGCTTTGCAAATATTAACTCGTTCAATCCTCATATCTCCACAATGACCCTCTGAGGCAGGTTCTATCTTTTCCCCACTTGCAGATGAGGAAATTTGCCCAAGGTGACAGAGATTAGGATTCAAGCCCAGGCTGCTGGCTCCCAAAACCATGCTCTTACTCCACTATTGTCTGTGGCCGCCACATTTTTGTTGTATTTTTGGCATTTGTTGACTTGGAAGTGTGGGAAGGATTTGAGAGGCAGAGAAAAGGCACTTTGGGAACAACATGAACCAAAACACAAGTGGTTTGTAGCTACATTGTCATAATGGCTCCTGTTTGTGACGGTTTAGTGCAACTAGCCTTTTAATGTATAATTTCAACCCCAGCAATTCATATTATATAAGAACTTTTTTTTTTTTTTTTTTTTTGAGACGCATTTTTGCTCTGGTTGCCCAGGCTGGAGAGCAGTGACTCAATCTTGGCTCACCACAACCTCAGCCTCCTGGGTTCAAGCAATCCTTCTGCCTCAGCCTCCCGAGGAGCTGGGATTACAGGCATGTGCCACCACGCCTGGGTAATTTTGTATTTTTAGTAGACACGGGGTTTCACCATGTCGGTCAGGCTGGTCTCAAACTCCCAACCTCAGGTGATCCGCCTACCTCGGCCTCCCAAAGTGCTGGGATTACAGGTGTGAGCCACCATACCTAGACTTATGTAAGAACTACTATAGCTCCGTTCCACAGATGAGGGAACCAGGGACCAGGGGAATCGTTGTGCAAAGTCACAGCTAGGAAGTGGAGGACAAACCGGGACTCAAACCCAGGTCACCCAATGGCCTAGTCTGCACTCTCACCACAGCACTCCACTGCGTCTTTCCTCTGTAGCTGGGAGAAGATGGAATTCAGTAACTGGACAGGTAACTGGGATGAGGTGCAGCCCTAGAAGCTGCACCAGAACTCACAGGACCCCAGAGCTGCCAAGCTAGGATGCCCTCAAAGGGCTTATGGTTCAAGCCCCAGGGGTGTCACCCCTATGGGAGTTTCGCTGAGGAGCCTGTCTCATAGGCAGTTCTCCCTCTGATCTTTCCTGCTGCTCAGTCATCCTAATCTGTTGTTCAGGCACTCCCAGGGAGAGCTGTTCCAGCCTTAACCTTGGCTTTTTGTCCTGCCTTGGCCCAAATCCATGCTCCTAGCCTGACTCCTACCATGTTTTCTTCTCCTCCTCCTGCTCTCAAGACATTCAAGATTCTGTGCCCTTGTCACCTCGTCTCCTCACTGGGTTCTCTCATTTCTGCAATGAGTAAGAAATGTGAGTAGGAAGAAGATGTTCTCGGAAACTCAAGTTCAAATATTCCTGTTTCTGGTTAGCTCTGGGGCCTGCCACGAGTCACTCAACTTCTCATTCCGTTTTCCTGTCTGTAATCATATTCATACCCACCTAAGCAAAGCCCTGTTGTGAGAAATAGATGAGATCATGAATGGAAACAACTAGTCACAAATTTTAAATATATTAATAATAAATAAATGTATATATATATATAACATATTATATATTTTTTTTTTTTTTTTTTTTTTGATGATGGAGAGTCTCGCTCTCTGGCCCAGGCTGGGGTGCAGTGGCAGGATCTTCAGCCTCACTGCAGCCACCTCCCGGGTTTACGCCATTCTCCTGCCTCAACTCCCGAGTAGTGGGACTACAGGCGCCCGCCACCTCGCCGGCTAGTTTTTGTATTTTTCTAGTAGAGAATGGGTTTCACCGTGTTAGCCCAGGATGGTCCTTGGTATCTCCTGACCTCGTGATCCACCCAGTCTCGGGCCTCCCCAATATATGTATATATATTTTTTTAGATGGAGTCTTGTCTGGGCACCCAGGGCTTGGAGGGGCAATGGTGCGATCTCGGCTCACTGAAAACTCACCCTCCCAGGTTCAAGCAATTCTCCTACCGCAGCCTCCGAGGAGCTGGGAATTATAGGTGCCATCACCACGCCCTGGCTAATTTTTCTATTTTGGTAGAAATAAGGTTTCACCATGTTGGCCAGGCGCTGTGTCGAACTCCTGAGCTCAGTGATCCTCCCGCCTTGGCCTTCCAAAGTACTGGCATTACAGGCGTGAGCCACTACACCTGGCCAGTGATTATTATCGGCCGGTAATATTATATTAATAAATATTATTAGCTGGGCACGGTGGCTCACACACTGTAATCCCAGCACTTTGGGAGGCCAAGATGGGTGGATCACCTGAGGTCAGGAGTTCGAGACCAGCCTGGCCAACATGGTGAAACCCCATCTCTACTAAAAATACAAAATTAGCCAACGGTGTGTGGCAGGTGTACTGTAATCCCAGCTTACTCGGGGGAGGGCTGAGGCAGGGAGGAGAAATCACTGGAACCCGGGAGGCGGAGGTTGCAGTGAGCCGAGATCGCACCATTGCCCTCCAGCCTGACCCGACAACAGTGAGACTCAGTCTCAAAAAAATAAAACAAAAATAAGTATTATTAGCAGTGTGATTAAGAAGGCAAAAAAGATTTAATGAGCCACCAATTCAGAAGGTGTGAGTGTGGCTGCCTGGTAGGGGAAGACTTGCCTGCCGGGATCAAAGTTGGGCAATAACTGGGATTCTTTGGGAAGCCAAAACCATCTGCGCCACTGGCCTCAGAAAGGAACTCAGGAGGCCGGGCGCGGTGGCTCAAGCCTGTAATCCCAGCACTTTGGGAGGCCAAGATGGGTGGATCACCTGAGGTCAGGAGTTCGAGACCAGCCTGGCCAACATGGTGAAACCCCATCTCTACTAAAAATACAAAAATTAGCCAGGTGTGGTGGCGGGTGCCTGTAATCCCAGCTACTCGGGAGGCTGAGGCAGGAGAATCGCTTGAACCCGGGAGGCAGAGGTTGCAGTGAGCGGAGATCGCGCCACTGCACTCCAGCCTGGGCGACAGAGCGAGACTCCGTCTCAAAAAAAAAAAAAAAAAAGAAAGGAACTCAGGAACCCTACTTTATCCCTTTCACCAACCCTCTCTGCCTCCA